TGAGACAGGGTCTCCTTGTAGCCCCAGCTGTCCTGGAACTCACTATGTAGACCAGGCTGGCCTCGAACTCACAAAGATCCGCCTGCCTCTGCCCTCCAAGTGCTGGGATTAAAGGCATGCGCCACCACGCCTGGCCATGTTCTCATATTTTTTAAAGGCTTTTTTTGTTTTGATTTATTCTAAACAATTTTTAAAATTGTAGTAAAGAATGCACACTATATAAGTAACCAGGCTGGCCTTCAACTCCTATCCCTTCTGCCTTATTGTTCTAAGTGTTCTGAAATCATAGGTATGTGTCATCATGCCTGTCTCTGGGTTTTTGTTTTTTTTTTTTTTTTTTTTTTCTTTTTTGAGATAGAATTGGCTCTGTAGCCCAGGCTGGCCTCAAACTTTAGATTCCCCTGTCTTTGCTTCCTAATTAACCATTGTTTTTAAATTTATTTTATTTTTATCTTTTTTTGAGATAGAGTCTCATGCTGACCTCAAACTTCATATATTGTGCCTGGCATGGTCACACACACCCTTAATCCCAGCCCCAGCACACTGAAAGCAAAGGCAGGCAGATATCTGTGAGAACATGGCCAGCCTGGTCTACATAGTGAGTTCCAGGCCAGCTAGGGCTACAAGGAGACCCTGCCTCAAAACAACAACAAAAAACCCAATACCAACCAAACAAAAAACAACAACAAAACTTACTATGTTACCAAGAATGACCTTGAACTCCTGATTCCTCTGCATTCACCTCCCGAGGGTTGGGATTACAGGTGTGTGCCTTCAAGCCTGGCAACCATTAATAAGTGTACACTTCCGTGACATTCAGTTCATTCATGTTATGGTATAGTTCTCACCATCATCCATCATCCAAAACAAACTCCGCCCTTTGAATTATAATTCTCCCTTCTCCCTCTGGTCCTTGGTAATCACTGCCCTACTTTCTGGCCCTCTGAGTTTGCTTATTCTAGGTCCTTCACAGACGCAGAATAATATTTGGCCTTTTGTGTCTGGCTTATTTCATTTAGTACAATGCCTTCAAGATTCATCCATGTTGTACTATTATCAGAATTGTATACTTTTTTTAGGGTTGACTGATAATTCACATATGACTATACATTCAAATATGTATTTATGTATTTATATATATCCCATTCTCCTGAATTTTGTAGATTAAGATATCAAGTTATGAAAAGGTGAAGGATTGGACCCACATCAGAAACCTAGTAAGTGGTTCCATTTTAATAACTGATTCATATATCATGGGAATACTGGTTGTTTCTACCCTTGGGCTATTGTGGATGATACCGTTGTAATTATTGGTGTTTGAATCTCTATTTTCAGTTGATTTGGGTAAGTACCCAGAAGTAGAATTCCTGGATCAAATAATAATTCTGTTTAGATTTGTAAGAAATCACCATATTATTTTCCACAGTGGGTCTATCGTTTGGCATTCCCACCAGCAATGTGTAGGAGGTACGGTTTTTGCTGAGCACACCTTTAATCTCAGCACTTCTGAGGCAGAGGCAGAGGCAGAGGGATCTCTGTGAGTTGGAGACCAGCCTGGTTTACACAGAGAGTTCTAGGTAGTGAGGGATTTTAAAAAATGGAGTTCCAGTCATTCTTTTTACTTTGTATTATTATAATGTTTTTTGATACAGAGTCTCTTGTACCTCAGGCTGGCTACCAATGGAGCTACATCCCAAGCCCTGTAATTTTTATTATTGTTATTGTGTGTGTGTGAATGCGTGTGTGATGATGTATGTGAGGGGTGCACATGTCACAGTGCATGCATGGAGTTCAGAGGACAACTTTGAGGAGTCAGTTCTCTCCTACCTCTGTGTGTGTTCCAGGGATTGAACTCAGGTGCCTTCATACCCATTGGGATATCTGGCTACCCTCTGGTATTTAAAAAAAATATTTTATTTATTTAGGTAGTTTTTGGTGTTTTTGAGACAGGGTCTCTAGCCCCAGCTGTCCTGGAACTCACTATGTAGACCAGGCTGGCCTTGAACTCACAGAGATCTACTTGCCTCTGTCTCCTGAGTGCTAGGATTAAAGGCATACACCACCACACCTGGCTCTTATTTATTATTTTTATTTTATGTGTATGAGTGTATTGCCTACATCTATGTAAATGCACTTGTGTCATGCAGTACCCTTGGGGGTCAGAAGAGGGTGTCGAATTCCCCTGGAACTGGAATTATAGAAAGTTGTTAGGGCCCATGTGGGTTCTGAGAATTGAACCCAATCCTCTGCAAGAGTCGCCAGTGCTCTTAAACACTGAGCCATCTCTCCAGCCCCTAACTCTGGCATTATTTTTTAATGTGAGGTATTAGAATAGAAATGTTTTTAGTTGTCATGAATAGAAAAACATTTCATTAGTGTATATTGATTGTACAAAATAATGAGTTTCACTGTGACTTAAGTAGAAAAATTTAAGATATGCTACCATTGGGTAAGAATTTCAGATTTTCAGGCTGGGCATGGTGGCGCACACCTTTAATCCTGGCACTCGGGAGGCAGAGGCAGGAGGATCTCTATGAGTTTGAGGCCAGCCTGGTCTCCATAGCGAATCCAGTTCAGCTAGGGCTACAGGGAGACCCTGTCTCAAAAAGACCCCCCCCGAAAATTTCAGATTTTCAACAGATTGAGTAATCTTGAGACTTCATTTATAATATCACATACACATGGATTATTGTAGGCAATCATCTGGAGTCCAGTGAAGGGCAAGCAGCTTCAGCTAATAAAAATCCTCAATAATGTTCCATTTTCTGGTTGTTTTGTTTCCCCTCAGTGCTACAGTTTGAACCCACAGCCTTGTGTGTGCTAGGCAAGTACTCTACCACTCAGCCACAAACCCTCACCCCGTGTTCTGCCCTTTCATGCCAATTCTAGGGTGTGTGCTCTGGTTTCTCTGCTGACTTGCTTGCTAACTTCTTGTATGTGTGTGTGCATGCACATGTAGATGCATGTTTGTATAGATGTATGGTGGATGCACATATGTGAAGGCTGGAGGTCAATCTTGGGTGTATCATTCTTCAGCAACTGACGCTTTTTTTGAGCCATGGTCTCTCTCACTGGCCTGGAGTTTGTCGTGTAGGCTGTGCTGGCTGGCCAGCAAGCCCCAGGGATCTACCTGTGTCTCCCCCCCTGTACTGGGGCTATAGCCACAGGCCACATCATCTAGCTTTTTATGCAGGTGCTGAGGATCAAGCTCAAGTCTTGATGACTGAGCTATCTTCCCAGCCCCCTTAATGAGTTTTCAGTAAAGTTGGCTTTACTGCAGTGCTCTACCAGTAGCTCTGCGTTCATTAACTGCACTGCATTGATTTTGTTTTCTTCTCTAGAAATGTATTCCTTCATTTTGAATGGGATACACTGACATACAGACCAAGAGTGACTGTTACATTTCATCTTTTCATCTTTTCATGGTCGTATCTTAGCTATTACTGCTTGTTCCCTTTTTATCTTTAAATATGCTTCTATGTCTCTTTCTTAATCAGTTTTAAAGATGTCTTAGGACTTATAGCTACAAAAATTAAAGACTATAGGCCTGGAGATGTAGCTCAGTGGTAGGACGCTAGCCAAACATGAGCAAGACCCATGGATCAATCCCCAACACTACCAAAAAAAGAAAAAAGGGAAGAAAATGAAATGATCCGTATCCTTGCAACATCTCCCTTCTCTCCCTCTACACCACCATACTTGCTAGCTACAGTATTTATTTCTTGACTCCTTTTGTGTTTTTTTTTTTTTTTTTTTTTTTTGCAATGCTAGGGATGGGACCTAGAACGTCATACATACCAGGCAGCTGTCTACCACTCACCAAGTCCCCAGCCCCTCTCAGTCCTTTTCAATCAGTGGTTTCCAGTTCCTTGACTTGGTCCCTCCAATCCTGTCTTCTGTTGTCATCCAGGCTAGCATCGTTTTTGATGTTTTCTGAAATACCCTTTACTTCTGGCACGCCTGTCTCCTCCCTTTATCTCCTCTGTAGACTACTGTGTCTTTGCTCTTTGATCTCTTTTTAAAAATATTTTAATTATTTTTATTTTATGTGCATGAATGTACTGCCTGCATGTATGTGTGTGCACCCGTGTCGTGCAGTGCTGCAGAGGTCAGAAGAGGGCTTCAGATTCCCCTGGAACTAGAGTTAAGGATGGTTCGTAGCCGCCATGTGGGAATCAAACACGGATCCTCTGCAAGAGCAGTCACTGCTCTTAACTGCTGAGCCATTTCTCCAGCCCCGCTCTTTGATCTCTTGTTTTAAAATGTGCCAATTTTTTTTTTTAGTTCTTTGGTGTTCACAGTTTTCCTGTTTTATGCTATTTTTTTCACTCTCTTTTTTTGTGTTTTCATCTGCCATTTATTTTTCTTATTTCCTGCCTCCTGTTTTATTTGTTAATTTTTTTATTTTTTTGGTCTTTTGAAACAGGGTCTCTTTGTAGCCCCAGCTGGCCTGGAACTCATTATGTATATCAGGCTGGCCTTGAACTCACAGAGATCTGCCTGCCTCTGCCTTCTAAGTGCTGGGACTACAGGCATGTGCCACCATGCCCGGCTTTTATTGATTTATTATTTTTAACATGTATATTTTGACTACATATATGTAAGTGCACCTGTGCCATGCAATGCCCATGGAGGCCAGAAGAGTCAGATCCCCAGGAACTAGAGTTGAAGACAGTTGTTAGCCACCATGTTGGTGCTGGGAACTGAACCCCAGTCCTTTGGAAGAACAGCCAGTGCTCTTAACCACTGAACCACCTCTCCAGCCCTTCTGTTTTTTTCTTCTTATTTTGTAGTATGTTTTGTAGATCTGTGCTAGTTCTCTCTCTCTCTCTCTTTCTCTCTCTCTCTCTCTCTCTCTCTCTCTGGCTACAGCTCTATAGATGAAATAATTATAGATTCATAGGAAGTTAAAAAAAATAGTACAGGGGCTGGAGAGATGACTTAACAGTTAAGAGCACTGACTGTTCTTGCAGAAGACTGGGGTTCAAATCCCAGCACCCATATGGTGGCTACCAACTGTCCGTAACTCCAGTTCCAGGAGATCCAACAACCTCTTCTGTCCTCTGCGGGTACTGCACCACACGGTGCACTTATACTCATATAGGCATAACACTCATACACATAAAATAAAAATAAAATAGTACAAAGTGGTGTCTTGTATTCTTCACTTAATTTCCCCAAATAGTAACATCTTGCATAGTTATAGTCCAATATTAAAATCAGGAAACTAAGCCGGATGTGGTGGCATATGCCTTTAGTCCCAGCACCTGGGAGGCAGAGGCAGGCAGATCTTTGTGAGTTCGAGGCCAGCCTGGTCTACATAGTGAGTTCCAGGACAACTGGGTCTACAGGGAGATCCTGTCTCAAAAAGAAAAAAAAAAAAAAAATCAGAAAACTAACAAAGGTACAATCCACAGACCCTATTATGATTCCCTAGTGCGTGCGTGTGTGTGTGTGTGTGTGTGTGTGTGTGTGTGTGTGTGCGTGTGCGCGCGCGCGCGCCAGGTGACACCAGCAATCTCAGTTTTCCACTGAGCATCTTGGTGTAGTAAGACCAAACTGAGGTCATCAGCCACGATCTTTAGGTGGTATAGCTGAAGGGTAGAACATTTGGCTGCAATCGCTCCTTATTCATCTCTACTTTTAGGACCACAGAGTCATTGTATCACCAAGCTTCCTTTCAACATTTGACCCTCTATTTGTTGAAGAATTCTATTTTATGGGTGCTGGAGAGATGGCTCAGTGGTTAAGAGCACTGAGTGCTCTTGCAGAGGACCGAGCACCCACATGGCGGCTATGAACCATCCTTAACTCCAGTTCCAGGGGAATCTGAAGCCCTCTTCTGGCCTCCGTGGCATTGCACGACATGGGTGCACTCACATACATACAAGCAATACACTCATATACATTAAATAAAAATAATAAATAAAAAAAGAATTCTATTTTATTGCATTTCTCTGATTGTACTGATTTAACAGATTTATGGAACCGCTTCCTCAGGGTCCCCAAGTTTTAAGGCTTAGAGTATCCCCAGGCCTAACGTGTCTAATATCCTTACCTGCAGTCAGAAGCCTCCAACTTTAAGATGGTCCCGTGATTCTGACAGTCATTTAGCCATTTTGAGCCCCCAGTGTCTATGTGTACGCAGTTGAAGGTCCCTCATGGGGCTTGTGAGGATTAACAAGAGATATTGCCTATGAGTGCTCAGTAAACATGA